ACAATCAAAGTGTCAATATTGTAGACGATAAGATTAATATTTAGTTCTTCATTTATTTTATTTCCTGTTTGAATACGCTATCGATCTTGGTGAAAGGAAACTYCACTCGGAAATTGGAGGGAAACGATATTCCGTTGTTTAAAAAAAAACAAAGTTCCGTTATGCAAATAAATTAACTTAAAATTTTTTAACTTTTTCAGTATTGTTTTGTGGAGAGGGGGGGGCCACCCCCCGCCGGGGCTCTGCCCTTGGACCCCAATTATATACTAAATATGTCCCCGCATTCGTAATAAAAAATAGTATGTGCAACTAGTGCGAAGTTGTCGATTGCCCACGAGAACGAAATTGAGCGCACTCAATCGACAACTTCGCACTAGTTGCACAATATACTATTCTTCTATCTTATTTTTTCAAATCATTTGTCCAAACTCGCGCGCGCGCGCACAAAGCTATTATTGGTAAATTCTTTTCTTAACTTATACTATCCACTCAAAATCGTTTACAACTACTAGACGGTAACAGAGGATTAGTTCTACTAGTTATATTGGAAAAAGAAGTAAGAATCGGGAGATAAAACGGTCTCATCTCTCACCATTTACTCTCCCTTTCTCTCTCTTCAGAAGTACTTACTTCGATTGCGATATTTTAATGTCCGATATTTTAAATCAAATAGTTCCTTGCAGAGAAACTGATTTTCTTCTTAATTTAAAAATCAGAGAATAATGAGAGCATCGATTAATTATTTCATGCTAGAGCGAGTTAAATGTATATACCTAAGAAGTTGTCGCTTACTTCTTTTATCTCTTCAATTAGGATTTCTCAAGTTCCTCATTGTATTCAACCATTTCGATTAACTGACAAATTATCTCACAATCGAAAGAAAATTAACATTGAATTCTAACGAGGATACAAACAAGAATGTTTTTAACGACTTTTATATATGCCGAATCATAAAAATCAATAATAAATAATCTTCGAAAGTACATTTATTCGATTAAAATTATTTTACTTTCTTTTTTTTACAGTTACTAAAAACTGTTATCGTATTTATAAAACTTCCGTTTCGATTACCATTACGCTCGAATTAATTGGGCCTATAATTTATTTTATTCTACGCATGAATGAGTTTATGGATTATTTTGATCGAATTATAACAATCGCGTTTGAGTTTCACTCGATTACCACGATTATTTTTAATTGAATATTAAATATTTTTGATAAATCGATCGTTTAAGAAATATCAACGATTATATGTGTTTATTAATAAATTATTGCTAATCTTTTTTGATTTTTTTATAAATAAAAACAAATAATCTATAGAAACTTAGAAACTTTTCTAAAAGAAATTAAATAAGTAAATATAAAAATAATTGGCTAAAGTTGACGATCCTACTGAGGCGGTTAATCTGGCTACGTTTATCGAATCGCCATAGATCGTGCGGTGGTACGGTAATTGTACAATTGGCAGCAGATTTTGCTGAAAACGTAGGGTAGTGTAATTCGTATCAAGAACTAATTCTCAGTAACATAATTACATCGAGCGCAGCTAAATTAGTAGTGGTTTACGCTTTAATGTGAATGGTAAATACGACTCAGTTCACTGAATAAATAATCACCTACTGAGTAATTACTGTCCGTTTTTATATCTCTGCGTATCACCAACAATTTGCCAATTTTTAATGCACCATAATAAATTGTAATAATCGATAAAATGTCATGAAATTATTTGGAATTTTTGTTTAAAAGATACAACACACACATACATGTAAATATGTAATAAAACAAATCTTTATCGATAAATAAACTTTATAATATTATTAATAAAGTTATAAGTTGATTAGTCTCGTTTTCAATCTTTCTTACTTAAACGTGTTTTTATATTCACCTGAAAAGATCTAATATTACATTTCATGATCAACACGTTGCGCATTGAGAGCCATTGCATTTTAAATTAGTATCTCTATATGAAATCACAATTGCAAGGAATTCCAAAATCCTCGAAAAAGTCAAAATATTCCTCGTCAACCCATTAATTATATCTTGTAGCATTTAGTTAGCTCAGAGAAAATAAATCTCATGGCTAAGAGAAAAGATTGTAACAATTTTGAAAAAGAAAGAGGACCAGACTGTTTCCTTTTCTCTTTCATTGCTACATCAAAGAAACATTACTCGTAATCTTTTATTTAACTTTTTTAACTAATAACTTATTTCGTTTATACACGAGAGAAAAAAAGTCATTCGTGATTCAAAAGGTAATATTGTTATTTCATCGAATTCCACGTTGTTATAATTCGCTATTTATAATACAAAGAACGCCACATTCTTTTTAAGATAAAATTTAAAGTTCTTTTTGATTTAACAAATGTAGAAAAAAAAATTTAATCTCTCGTAAAACCCCTTTAACCCTTTGCTTCTGTAAGGTCGTTAAACTCGTCGAAATCTTAGAACGTTTACTGACTCTAAGTAAATATGCTTTCTACGATCTCACCTCGGATAGGAAGAATAACTCTATGCACACATCCTCTATTCATTCACATAGAAAAGATGTTTCACGCTTGTTGACGAATCGTTCCCCAACATCTATTTAATATTAATGGGTCATAACGAAAAAAGAATAGTTACTTTCTTTTAAAAAGAACTTTTTTCATTTAAAGCTCGACTCACGTAAAAATTTGGCAATAATAAGAACACTATCGAACCAGTTATAATACTTTGGATTATATAAAACGAAATAGTTTTATTACTTTCAAAAATTAATATTTTTATTCTTCCCTATTACGTAATTTAATGACTATAAAATGACGGCGAAAAATTAAGAGTTCTGTAAATGCATAAACAAATTCGATAATAGCTATATACCATATGTATACAAATAATATAAAAGGTTACCTTACTTTGAATAATAACAAAAAATATACATATATAATTTAAATTAAATTTGTAACGTTACCGATTGCTGTACAGACACCCACAATCCTTGTTAATGTTCCCAAATGCGTGTCGGTTAATCTAACGTAAGTCGACATACCGTCTTCACGGTTATTTTCGCTTGTATGGTTCACACGTGTCACCATAAAAAAAGACAACGTGATTAAACAGTATAGTTGTAATATCCGAAAAAGAGCTTAGTTCTTCAAAAATTGGAACTTGTATTTTTTTGTAATTGCATCACGTACCGTCGATCGGTTACTACGTGATTCGAATCAAAAGGTTAGGAATCACTAAGACCGAACTCAAGCACTGAAAAATGAAACTTTTAATAAATAAAAAGGCTTAATGTGATGTCTACAAAAAATCATAAATGATAATAATTAATAAATTATATAACAATAATATACACGTAAACAATAACAATTATTTATATAATCAAATACTGTATATTATTTGACTTCTAAAACGAGACCGGAAGACGCATGGAAATAATCGTCCAATGTAAACGGCGTGGTGTAGCGGCGCGAAATATAAACGTTTAAAATGACGAAACACCTTCTCTATTCGGAAGGTCGCGTACAACTGAGAGAGTAAGCCCATACAGCAAGATTGTTACAGCATCCCCATGCCGAAATCCACACTTGCGCACTTGATATTCATTTTTACTCCATCTCTACGTACATGATTTTATTTGTATCTGCGTAGAGATTGTGTTAAATTGATAATGCAATTTTCAATTAATTAAAAATAAATTTACCAATATTAATTTAATGATAATTAATGTTTGTAGTTTTATAACATTATATATATTTCATACGGTTTTGATGATACTCAAGAAAATAATTATTCGTATAAAATTTAATTGCTTGTTATTATAATTTATTTGATCATAGATTTCATATTTTTTAATGAATCGGAATGATACTATTATAATTATCAGTTGCCTATTTATTTTTCGAAAGACATTTTATATAACAATGTATATATATATATATCATAAATAACATATTCCAAGGAAATTACACATGTACCACAAATTAAGCAATAATTATACATTAACATACTTTATCTATTTACAATATATGTATTTTTACGTACAACAATGTGCAATTATAAAAATATATTTAATTACTCACGAAAACATGTATATTACATATCTATAAAACTAATAGATATCGAGTGAGGTAGACATTGTTACGATACAGTTAATTAATAAACAACAGTATTTAAAATACACATCTACTAGATATATAATATAAAAAAAATATTATTATACTATAATGTTAAAAACTTTAAATATTATAAATAGTTCTATTTTTACTATTATATTATACTTTATATTGTATTCCAGACAAAATAAAATGTGTGCACACCTTGTATAATATAATAATTTTATAAAATAATTTTAATATTAACAAAATAAAGTCATATTAAAAAGACTTCCTGATTCTTATAAGGGTACATAATACGCATTATATTATATAATAAAATATTCATATTTTTGCATTGTGAATATCCAATTAACTATTTAAATTTAATCATTTAAATAGAATTTTAATAAATCTTTTTCGATTTTATGGTCCCATAGTTAAACTCTTCAGATAATGACAAAACTACATATATATAATATCTTACGAGTCTTATTATATATATATATATATAACTAAACATTTTGAAATAATAGAAGCATATTTTACAATTCAAATTATAAGCAATATACTGTTAACCGTATATTAAATATTATTTTTCATTTTTGAGTGAAACTTTCTTTTTCCTACTTAAAATGTTTCTAGGACTACAATCCCAATTACTTGTAAATAAAGCTGATTTTGGAGCCTGTCCTGTAGTAATATGCTTACCTTGAATTTCTAGAATATCATTATTTTTATCGCGTATAATTTTTGTAGTAGATGGCATTATTGAATGTGAAATTGGACTTAAAGGTTTTATACTGCGCTGTAACACAGCTGGTGATGCAGCCAACAACAATGATCTATAATCAATAAAAATAATAATATTATTGTTATTATTATTATTATTATTATTATTATTATTATTATTATTATTATTGTATTATGCGATGCATTTCATTAATATACCTATTTTTGCTGCTGGGAAGCCTTGAGGTATCTATAGGGGCAAGTCTAAGATTTTTCGGCCACACAGCTGAAGATACAGGGGTTTGCCAAACAGAATGATTATTCGGTATTCTAATACTGTTTGATTTCCATAATGGTTTGACGTTAGAAAATGAATTTCTAGTAGATCCTATAACAAGATATTATCGTATATTTTATAATCTACTAATATCTAATATTTTATAATATCTTTACATTAAAATCATTTATTTTCACCTTGAGAAGTTGAGATTTCTAAAGCTTGTTCCATGAATCTAATAGGAATAGTTTTTAAAGTAGAAAAACTTTCTCTAGTTGATACAGCAAAAGGCACAGGGCTAACAACAATCTTTTCATTGAAAACAGTACCGAGTTTATTTCTATTTTGTTGTGGAGTATATAATCTTTCCCTTTCATTATTTACATCACTTTCCACTTTTTGTAAGCCTTTTATTTTACTCGCAGAAATAGAATGTTTTGTTCTCCTGTTAATATAAATTTATTTAAATACAATACATATAAACATATAAATTGTGTCATAAATATTTGTATTTATTTAAATATACCTTTGAGGAAAACGTTTATTCCTTGTAATAGTTTCAGGTTTTGATTTGTCCAAACTACTCTGTTCATGTTGTTTTACATTATTGAAATCCGAAGAATCATCTTCAAAATCTTCATGATACAAAATTTGATCACTCGATTTAGTAGATTTAGAACTTTTTGTAAATGTTCTAGTCCTACACATAGATGCAGGAGTAATTTTTAATACTTTATCTAGTTTACTATCTAATGTGTCCGTATTATCATTTTTATTTGGAAATAATTGAAAATTTATGTATTCCGAGATAATATTAAATATTTCTTCTTTTAATTTTTTATATTGCTGATTTTTTGAAGATTCATTTATATCCTGTAAACAATTGTCTTCAAAATAAAGTTTTCATTTAGAATAATGCTTTAATTTAAGAAGAAATATGAGATTCTAAATATATTATTGTTAAAAATATAAACATACATATATATACCTTTGCTGCCTGATCACATTCAATAGATAGTTTTAGAGTATCACTATCATCGAACGGTTTTTGTACTTCTCTATTATTTGTGCTATAATCTGCAGATTTACTAATATTTTCATCAAATAATCCTTTTCCAATAACTCTCAGATGTGGTATTTGCATTTTCCATTGCATACATTCTTCAAGAATTTCATTATTGGACAAGTTATCAATTTCATTATAAAGAACCCTTTCAATTGCATCCCATTGTTGAAGTAATTTCTCAGTTGCAACATTTTCCATCTCCTCAGGCCATGACATAGACGTTGAGATACTAACTCGATCCCAACTTGTTGGACTAGTAATTCTCTTAGAAAATTCTTTTCTTTGTAAGTCTGGTAATGGTGTTTCACGTAACTCATGTTCATAAGATTCATCGTCTCGTAGTCTTAATAAATGTTGAGGTGCTTTTATCTTCTGCGATGTCGAACCAAACCTACAAATAAAAAATATATTCTTTTAGTTTTTTTTTAAATCAATTGAAAGCAATTTTAACAGATAAATATTAATTATATTAAAATTATGTATTATAAGTTGTAAAATTAATTTCTGAAATTATTATTATATCAAAAAATTTGATTTATACTAATTAAAATTCTTTAAATCTAAAATACAATTAATAAAAACGTACACATTCCGTTTAATTATCTTTTTATGCATTTCATGCTTCCCAAATTATGACACAAATCATTAAAAATTATTATAGAAATTATAATAGAAAGTCCTTGAGAAAGGTGTAATCACGAAACTTGTATAAGAATCACTGTTGCTATCGATTATTTTACTAATGGCCAGGTAGGTAATTTAAAACATTTCAATGACACCATAGTATTCTCGATTTCTTAATTAAATGATACATGTCTTTAAAATATTATAAATCTTGTATAATTCTACTATAATGCAATCAATCTCTTATTGGAGCTTTTATAATCATTATTTCAAAATTTTACGCGCAATAAAATGCACATATGATTGAAATACATCAATCACGATTGGTCGAATATATATAACAGTTAACGCTGATTGGTTAATATTTAGAAAAAAAATAAATGATATGATTAATTATAACATTTAATATTAAGTTTTTCCTAAATCATATTTATATTTAATAAATTCTACATATTTCACATATATATATATATATATATATATATATATCTGTTTAATACATAATAAAAAGTCTTATTAAGATAATTATTGTAATTACTTAATTGTTATTGATTATCGAGTCTTAACCAATGACAAGCTTTGTTACAAATAGATTAAATTTTAAAGCATGCCCAATTAAATAACAGAACTTGAAGATTTAAAAAGATTTAAAAAAATATGTACTAAAGAAGTATCAAATAATAATATAATAATAATTTAATGCATTAAAATATATTTTTTCAATAAAAACTTATAAAAACTAATAATATTAAATTATAATTATGGATATAAATAAAATACAAATAGCAATAGTTTTTCTTATTATTGTTATCAGTTTTTATATGCATAAATGCATTAAAAGTATGCATTCCATAAAGATTTAAATGAAAAGTCTTAATTTTTTATCGTTTTATTTTTAAAACTATATTTTAAATTATTCTGTAGGGAAATATTATATAACGAAACCTGTTATTACACCATCTGAAAAGTCCGAAAAGAAACACTTCTTTAATAAATATACATTGAATCAAACAATTGTTGATTCAATGAGTCATAAAAAAATATTGTTACAATTACACGAAGCAGCCGATGTAAGTTTTATTTAAAGAATTTAAGAATTATTTAAAATTTTTTATTACTTTCTAATACTAATAATAGATTTATATTAATGTTAAATTTAGAAATGCTATATGAAAGCATATGCACTTAGGTGCATTTATTTAATCAGTTATTGTCCGCATTTAATTAATATTCCACATGGACCTAAGGGATATACACCATTTCACAAAGTGTGCTTTCATGGAAATACTTGTCTGATTGAATATATGCTTGCGAAAGGTAAATTTTATAATATTTATATAGATATAATAGATATATATTATAAAAATAGGTATTTGGTAATTATATTTAACATCAAGAATTAATGAAAAATTTATATTATACATAGGTGCTAATCCTTTTCTTACAACTTATACCGGTGAAAATGCTATTTGTATGGCATTACACTTTTTCCTTAATAATCCTAACAATAATGATTTTACTTGCTTAAATATTCTTTGTGAAATAGGTTTGTAGAATATTGTAAATAATTCATATTTACTATTTATGTGCAACTACAGTTTTATATACCTTATTATAAATTAAATCTAATTACTTTTATTGTTCTTTTTTTTCACAGGTTGTTATTTAGATATGTCAAATATACACTATGATATTTTTATGAATGCAGCCTTAAATAATCATAACAAACTTTTAGCAAAATGGATTTTATTGAATAGTAGAACAATGAAAATTTCAAGAAGTTATTCAAATCTATAAAATTTCATATACTGTAATTTACAGTAACAATCAATTAAATGAAATATATAATTTAATAATCTACACAATGAATTATTAATTTGGTTTTATTATTTGATGTTTTATTCTTCCACTTAGTCAAATAATATGTAATACAATAACTTCACAATTATTTGTCCTAAACTCAATTAATTCATAATTTTTAATTTAGAATAAATTACTTACATAAATGTTATATGTAATCTATTATTTAATGATGAAGTGACAAAGTCCACTAACAATAAGTAGATATAATAAAAATGTACATTAGTATTTATACAAGTCATATAAAAACTAACCTCTTTCTATGATTGTTTATATAAGTACAGTCATAGTATATACATATGTATATATCTTATCATCAATCGAACAATCTGAGTCGATTGTTTCATTTATTTAATTATAACCCAAGAATAACTTTTGAATCCTAATACAATACATTCCTTTTAACTAGTTCAATTTTTAGCATATATAGAATATTGCTATATTCAACTAAGCAAGCATTATTTTAAATATAATCTTTTTCTTGTGTAATTCTATTGAAGAAAGGTTAGATTTGTATTTAAATATGTTAAATACTGGTCTGTTAATTTTAACTAATCCTAATAGGATTTCACTGTTATTAACATTTGTTAACAAACATATTTTGAAGACATTATATATTCAATACTTGCCAGAACAACATTTATTTCCATCAGAAAGTTGTACTCCTAAATTACATAAATTACCTTATTATGCTGAAACTGTTGCCAATATTTATAAAGTAGCTTCTCAAATGTGTTATAGACTAGACATACGAATCTTATTAGCGCATTTAAAAGATCCTACTTTTGCTGTTATAAATACAAAAAATCCGGTGGAAATAGTCATTTTTGATAAAATTATTAACTCTAAGACCATTGATATTTTTATACAAAACTGCATTGTTAATGTATCACGTGAATGCAATTATCTAACATTTGCTGCTAAAAAGGAAGATGAAGTATATAGCAACATTGATCAATGTACAAGTATACAGAAAATGTATAAAAGTGTTGTTTTGGGTGGTACATTTGATCGTTTACATAATGGACATAAAATCTTTTTAAGCGAAGCCGTTTTGTATTCTAAAGAAAAACTTACAGTTGGTGTAACAGACACAAAAATGTTAACCGGTTAGAAATTTCACTATTAAAGTAATGTTTTTAGTTGTTATATTTAGTCATGACTAACAACCAACTAACAATATTTTTAGGAAAATTGCTATGGGAGTTAATAGAACCATGTTCTAAAAGAATATCAAAAGTAAAAGAGTTTTTAGAAGATGTAGATCCATTAGTTTCGTATGATATTGTTCCCATTAATGATATGTATGGTCCAACTAAAGAGGACCCTACCATGGAAATGTTAGTAGTCAGTGAAGAAACTAAACGTGGTGGAGATAAAGTTAATTCTTTGCGGTTACAGAAAAATTTAAATGAATTGGTTATTCATGAAGTAAAATTATTATTTGATGAAAATCGCAAAGAACGCGAAGAAAGTAAAATTAGTTCTAGTAATCAAAGAATGAGATTACTTGGTACAAGATTAGGAAATGTTGTATGTATTTACTTGATACTAAACTTATTTATTTGTTTTTATTAATATTATTAATAATTTTTCAGATAAACAAAAATAAAACACTTAAACCTTATATTATTGGATTAGTTGGTGGTATAGCAAGTGGTAAATCATCAATTGCTGAGGAATTAGTAAAGTTTGGTGCTGGATTTGTGAATTGTGATAAAATTGCACATGAATTGTATCTTCCTAAAACCAAAGGTTTTGAAATAGTAGTTTCACAATTTGGTAAAAAAATAGTTGATGCAGATGGCCTTATTAATAGAAAAGTGCTTGGAAATATTGTATTTAACGATAAGGTAAATTTATGTATATAATTTATGCGATATAAGCTTATTCCTATTACTTTTTAAATTATTTGATAATTTTCTGTTAAACATTTAGAAAGAATTAGATAAACTAAATAAATCAATATGGCCTATAATCTTGGAAAAGGCTAAAGAGAAGATACAAAATTTATATAGTGAAGGATATAACATTATTTTAATGGAAGCAGCAGTTTTGATACAAGCTAATTGGCAAAATGAATGTCATGAAATTTGGACTTGCATTATTCCACCAGAAGAGGTTTGTTTAATATTATTTGATATTATATGTTTATATATATTTCGTATTATTAATAATATACATATATATCTTATTGAGAAATAATACATATATTAAATGTATAGGCCATTAAAAGAATTGTAAAAAGGAATGATTTATCAGAGGATGAAGCAGAAAAAAGAATAAAAATGCAACCAAGTAACGTAGATCTAGTTAAAGAAGCTAACGTTGTTTTCTGTACATTGTGGGATTATGATTTTACAAAGGAACAAGTGCAAAATGCATGGAATGAATTAACAGATTATATATCACCATATGTAAACTATTAATATAGCGATGTTTTTAAAAATAAAAAGGGGAATAATATATATGTTTAACTTTAGTTTCTAAATTCAGTTCTTTTCTTTTTAACACTTATTTTTTTTCTTATACACAAATTTTTCACATGCTGGAAATAAAATTTAACTACATTATAGATTTTTGTATGATATATTTACGTATATTATATTTTACTAAATTAATATAAAAATTATTTAATAAATAAAATGTTATTTGTTAATATTGTTTTTTCTTCTTGATCTACATAGTTTTGCATTTTAGTCACGAGTGAGCTTAAAAATGAACGAAAGTCGGCCTGTAATTTATTACCACTTTCTTCTATGTCACATCTAACATGTGATACTTTGGGAAATGCGGATGCTATATAAGTAAATAAATTATATGTTTTTTAAATTACAATTAGTCATTAATTTGTCTTATTTTTTCACTTACAAATTGATTTTGATAATTCTGATTGAGTTTTATCTGGATCGTAACAAAATATTACACACATGTCAGGACCTAATTTAGTCTGCGTAACAAAATAATCATAAAAGTCTTGCATTTCTTTTAAACAATTTTGTTTTCTTCCACTATATATTAACATCACACCATGTAAATCTTTCTTTATAGCGGGCCAACAAGTTTTAAATCTGTAATATGAATAAATAAAAAGAATGCATAATCTAATAATACATTTAAAATATACTAAATATCTAACTTGCATACTTATAATCACCACTACAATCCCATATTTCAATATCTTTTGAAATAGTTTTATTATTTACTATAATTCCTTGTGCTTCTGCTTCCAGTATTCTTACACCATATGTTGGATGATAATAGTTAGGAATTTCTGAAGCATCAGCAAGAAAATTTGATATTGTGGTTTTACCACTCTAAAAAATATTTTTTAAAGAATAATTAAAGAACGATTTATATTTACATGTATGCTATATTTTTCTATTTAAAATTATTAAATTAAAAGGATTTATTTAAGTAAGATTATTTATTTATATTATTAATTAGTTAAATCTTACCTCTAATGGTCCAATTACAACTAACTTTAAAGCTTGCATAATTATTTATATTTTCTACCACATAGCACAGTTTTTAATCTTTCCATATTGCTATATCATATCCCTGATGACAATTTTTGTGTACATCTCGGTTTCTACGGTAACCATTCACAATGTCGAAATTAGAATGTATGCTTATTATATAACAAAATGAATAAGCATATTTATATAAAATCTTAATTATTTTAATTAGAAATAATACTTTATAACCATATTATGTATACATATATAAATATAATATTATAATTTATTACAGGTTAGTATCGTAATAATGTTTGATACTTGTTATTAATTTATTTATAAATAAAGTGTGGTTTTATAATATATTTATATTATAAAGTATTTAATAAAAATAAATTTTAAGTCATATAAAACTGATACATGTAATTACAAACTAAATTCACAAATCTTATGAATAAAAATATAAACAAAATGTATGTTTTTTTCTTAATGTGCAATTACAGAGTCGTTATACTAATAAAATACCGACAAAATGTCGAAAATTGTTTGAATAGTGTTTTTTATTTTAAAAGATATTTCGAATGTTCGATAAGTCATAAGTGCAAATACAGTATATTTATCTAAAACTGTTTCATTTCTTTTACAATTTGTGTTATATTATACATAATTAGATAGAATATTACCTTTTAAAATATGTTTTTTGTTTTTCATATAGCTTATAAATTATTACAAAATATTTCTGAATCTATACATTCATAAATATAAATAATTTAACTTTACACATGATTATTTTCATGATTTCTGTATAATAATCTAATAATTATAATTTGTAGCATATTGTAAACATTTATTTGGACAAAGAAAATAAAAGAAGAGTAATTGTGATACATATATTGAAGAAATGTGTTGTAATTAATGTCTAAACATTACTTCACGCATTCTTAACATCATCTGAACGATCAACTTTAATTTCTTCTGGATAGTTTAATCCATATAAAGATAACAATGCTGCTTTTGCTGCTATTTTTTTAGCATCCTTCTTATTTCTTGCTGCAATGGAAGAAATATATATTCTAACAGCATATTTATAAATAAATTTGATATGACATACAAAATCGATGACTTTGTATTTATTAAATTTATTATTTTTTCATACCTGAACCAGAATAGCTGATACCATCAATTTCTACAGCTAATGTAAACATTATAGTAGGTGGATTTCCAAGACGGCTTACTTCTACATATGTTAATCCTGGTTTCATTTGATTTAATAACATAACAGGGTGTATAGTGGCTGCATTTGGTGGAAGTTCTTTTTGGACAGTAACTTTATTTGCATTAGCAACTGTTTTCTTTGATCCTTTTAGCGGAGAAGGCAATCCTGGTCTTGGTACTGGTACCGATGTTCCTTGGTTGTGCCATTCCAAAAAAAGTTTATAAAGTGCAAAACTTGCTAATGAACTCCATGGAACTTCTTCGCTTTCATCAACATTAGCATCAACTGCCATTTGTACATCTTCTGTATTCTCATCTTTTGTAGACAATGCATGTTCTAAAGATTGACTGGCTTGTCCATCTGTTTCAGCATCCATACGTGCTTTCATACTAGCTGCTGTCATTTTTTCAAGTAACAATGCTTTCAAAGCATTTTCAGCAGCATTTTGACGTGCAAGTGGTTTAGATAATCCTTGACCAACATATGTTTTTCCATCAAGCTACCAATTATATACATAATATTTATTCAGAATAAATATATAGAATTATTTATTAATTATTTATGAATATAAATATATTCATTATGAACAATTTATGATTTTTACCTCTGCATGAACAAGATAAAGAGCATTTGGCAAAGTTCCTTGCGTTTCAGGAAATGTAAATTGCACTCCAGCTTTCATTTCATTTAGAACCATAATAGCATTTTTTGGCTGAAGAGTTTTCCTTAAACGTTGATTTAATCGAAGACGTTTCAATTTTTTGTTTACCTTAACTACAAATACAATTTTATTAGTAAATTGAGAAGAGTATAAAATATAATATTAATTAGCAGTATATAGTATTTAACTTTGTCAGTACACTGATTCACATTGATTGTTCGAGTGGCTTAGCTCAAGGAGTAAGACCGAGCAAAAGCTAAACATCTTCAAATTTGCGCAGCGTTTGTCATCATATTGATAATAAAATATACATTTTACAGGAAATAATATATATATATATATATATATACACGCACACACATAATACTTACATCCAGGTACTTTACGTCTCCATCTTGGTTCTAATGGATCAGAATCCGCATTTTCAGCTTTGACGTCAACATTTGTATCAATGGTATTATTGCCAACTGTATCTGAGATAATCAATGATGACACACTTTTAGATGTAGAAGCAGGTTGTTGAGAAGTGCCAGATATGTTGTGTACAATAAGACTAGTACTCGAGCCCTGTTTAAGTATCGGTTTTAGGCGCTGTGGTGTTTGGGTATTAGATGATGGTAGTTGTGGAGGTGGTTGCTGCTGCTGCTGCTGCATATGCTGCTGTTGCTGTACATGCTGCTGCTGCTGCTGCTGCTGCTGCTGTTGCTGCTGCTGCTGTTGCATGTGTTGCTGCTGCTGTTGCTGGATATGTTGCTGTTGGTGCTGCATTAATTGAGATTTCAATTGTTGTCTTGTCATACTAGTTTGTTGTATCTGTACTTGTTGCTGGGATTTAAACGGTTGTGAAGTTTGCATATTTCCTTGTTTGTAAATATCTTGTTGATTTCCAATTGGTTGTGGAAACTGATAATTCCCTTGCTGACTAAACTGTAAAATATAGGGTGGGTCGCCGCTACACAAGGAACCTCTACGGTTGTGCTATCCCACCAAGGTCTAGCATCGCATATGTACTTAAAAGCAATCTAATGCTACCCCCATAGCTCTTACCTACCAAGTTACCTTTGACCATAGCCAATGTTTCTTTACTCATGACTCAGCTAAGTTAAAATATATTAATTATTATAAAGTAATTTAAAAAGTTATATTTTTAAAAATATAGTAATGTATAATTGTAAGTAATGTATGTGATAAATTATAACTATCCTTCAGAATATGTTTTATGTATGATATGTGATACAAAAAAAAATACAAAAAGAAGAAAATCTACATTAAGAGTTTAATGATTACTGTTTAAATAAAAAATATATAAAATATATCATAACTCATTATCGATGATTTAATGATGTTAAAACAATTCAATTTGCTTAGACATGAGTTCAGTACAAGTTATTAAGACAACGGCCTATGGCCTATGGCAGGCTATGCTATGTGGGTAACAGACGATCTAGCCCCTGGCCGACCGCACTTCCTCGGTATTGTTGTATAGCTACTAGTACCTGCGTTGCAGGGGAGGGGAAAGTAGGGACCACTAATTAGTACATGCAAATGGATACAACTTTGGAAACAACAAATGGAACATTTTAATACATCTATATATGTGAAAATTTAAATATATTGCATATCTTGTGTTATATTTGGGATATTCTATTTAATTTTATATAGTAAAAGATTTGGTATTAATAAAACTTTTATGCCTATAAATAATGTAATATAAAAGTGTATATTAATAAATAAGAGGAAACTTACAGAATTTTGGTTCTGGAAAGGAGCCTGATTATTAGGATTTTGTGTTCTTGCTGTAACATATGTATAAATATATTTTTATTGTGTTTTATAAGAAACATTATATAGTAGAAATAATAAAATTTATGTTATTTAAATCAAAATAAATCGTATAATCAAATTATTGTGTCATCTAAAATAGTAAATAATATTTTGAAAAATATTTGGAAAATATTTTGTTTTTCAGCAATAATATTTAATAAATAAATATGAGATCTTTATGTAAGCTAACAGGTCATTCTAGGTAAACATAATTAAATTTTACGAATAAAAGAGAAGAAAAATAAAAACAGAAAAAAATAAGAAAAAGAGAAATATACAAATAATATTAAAAAAAAAAGAAAATAATCAATAATGTTGATCATTTTATTATAATGGATTTCAATACGTATTAACAAATATTTGTTTCCGTTTATAAATAATCATATGTATATATACGAATTTATTTGTTATTAACGTTTTTATATATCTTAAATACACAAATAATTTTTTTCCTGTTCTTACCGTTGGGATAGCCCTGACTTAGTCTATTTCTTGTAAACATTTTTATCTTCTTAATAAAATAGTAGAATTGTCTTAAATGTTATTAATTATTAAACTTTTAATACTCCAATAATTACGATATATCACTTAGTACTATTTAAATATATATAAAACAATGTAATTTTTTCGTTAAATGTAACAGTAATATCCAGCACACATGCTACTTAATCATGAAGAAGGAAATGACGCTATGAAGTCACCCCTACCTCTCTTGACAATAGGAAATATGAATTTTGAAGAATGCGCATGTGCGTAATACGAAATTAAATATTAAAATATTTAAGCATTTTGATATTTAAACATTTTAATATGTAGGCATTTGCGTGAATTTTCTCGATCGTAATATTCGTTCGATTTTGTTAATTAAGAAAATAAATAAAGATTTTTTTATACATGATGATTATTTGACATTTTTTTTTCATTAAAATTGTTTATTAGATGTAGCAATTAATTCAGTGCCTTTTAAAAAATGTAATATTTATTTATAAAATAATCATACATCTCTTATTCTTCAAAATAGTTATTTTCAATAACTTTGGTCTATCCTTCAGATAATTATCGAATTCAGTGAAGAAAAAAAATGGTGATTTGGGGCAATGAGTTTAATATCAAAGCACCAAATAAATTGCTACACCTAATAATTTCATGAAAATAACTTTTAAAAATATGTTTTTTAGGCATAATTTTTTTAAAATATCAATTTTATGTATATAATGTAATATTTTGTTTTTTAAATATTAGTTAGTCAAAGTTATCAATTCGTGTAAATAACTTTTATTTTTCAAATGAGCTTTCGATCATTTAAATCTTGCAAAAGTGTAAGAAGAAATGTCAGTTAAATATGAAAAGTGTCATGCATCGTATTTTATTTTTCTTATGAAATAATTTACGTATTAATTTGATGTTTTAGGTATTTTCAATTTACGCGTGTTGATGATGCAAGGGACACAATAAATTTAACTATAACTCTTAATTCACTTTTTTTGTTAATACGTCGCCTAAGATATTGGGTAAATAATTATACAATCTTTCAATATTTAAAGTATCTTTTGTTAATAAAAGGTTGCATTAATATTTTTATTTTACAATTTATACGGCATAAAATTGTTTTTCTAGCTGTAGAATGTTAGGACAAAATATTATAAATCAATTGAAAAATAATTTAAATATCTGCATTTTAAAAATATCACAACGTATGGTATTCCTAAAGTAAAACTTATACATTTATACAATAAAAGTTCCATACATATAGTGCAAAATGCAATTCATAATTACAGAATTTATATAATGGCTACGTAATGATTTTATATAATACAAAAATTCTCTATGTATTATCTTAATCATAGTACTAATATTAATTTTCTTTTACTTATAGTAAACCCTCCATTTCTTGCATAAATTGCATATATGCATCATCTTTTGTTTTAGGTTGTGTTGTCCGAAGTGGTTGAGTTTCTGGTAATCTTTCTGAAAGTCTAGATATGTTGCTTGGTTTTCTTTTGTCATCTCGTTTTACTCGCAAGGATGTTGGCAAAAATCGTGTAACATCTGCAGCTAAATTTCGAATTTGTGGCTTCGCTTCAATTGTAGTTGTATTCTTCCCATCTTTATCCTTTCTGTTAATTAATTGAGGAGCAGCAGATAATACATTAGGAGTCTTAGGTTGTGATCCTGTTCCTGATTGTGATTGCATCTGAGCGTTTCCTATATTTGAAATATTAGATAAACTAGGCATTTGCATCTGTGGTGGTGGCATTCTAGGCATACTCGGTGGACCAGGTCTTAACATTCTAGGCAATCCAGGTGGAGGGCCTGTAAAAATATTTTGTATATAATTAATTTATCAGTAATGAAATTATGATTGTAATTAAATTGAACATATTATAATATAATAATTATGTATATATTACCAGGTGGAAGACGAAGTCCAATACGAGGTGGTGGTGGTGGAGGCATTCGAAGATGTAATGGTGGAGGTGGTGGCCTGTATAGAAGTGGAGGTGGTGGAAGATTCATATGAGATAAATTATGTTGCTGTGTGTGTTGTGTATGAGAATGAGGTGTATGTTGATTATGTCCTGAAGAATGCTCAGATGCTCCCGGAGGTTCGAGTTCTTCATCTTCCGCTTTGTTGTTAGATTTATTATTGGATTTAGAATTAGAATTAGGTTCATTTTCTGCCTCAAGTAATGATAAACGAGCATTTAAATCTTGAGCACGTTCAGTTTCACGCTTTTTATGAACAACTTCCATTTCACGCATAAATTGATCGATATCTTGACCTGCCATGGCCAACATTTTTTGTTGCAAGGAAGTTGGTTTAACCTTTGTTATTTCTCTGTCTTTATCTTTATCTTTCTCTACATCTTTTTCTTTATCAGAATCTTGCTTGTTATCATCTCTATCATCCGCAAAACGTATTGTTCTTGATTTTGCTGGTGCATCTTTATTCTATAAGTTGTATATATAAAATTGTTAAAAATATTAACTTATTGTAATAATAAATATATAGGATTACCTTTTCTGTAACATCTTCATCATCGCTTGAAAGATCAGGGGGTGGAAAAGGTGGAACACCTGGTGGTTCTTTATTTGGCGCCATTGTAGGTATTGTTGGAGCTGTGGCATATGCACTAGTTTTCTTTAAAATACTTGGCGGTATTGGTATATTCATGAGTGGATGATGTTGTGGTATATAATGTGGATGTGGTGGATACATATGTGGAGGAGGTTGTGGCATGTCTGGTAATGGAATTTGTGATGTTAACGAGCCTGAAATAATGTTTGTAACGTTAAGAAAATTTCTATAATGTGAAATAAAAAATAAAATACAATTTGTTTCTAACCTGGATAAATTCGAGATATATCACTAGCTGCAGATGGTAATGGAATTTCATCAACCTGTACTTGCTGCGCATGTCTTACTGCTTCAAAATATGACACTAAATCTATTCTTCTTCGCTCATATTGTATTAATTGTTCTTTTAATTCCGCCCACTTTTCTTGATCATCTTTTGCCTATAAAAAGTAAATGTACTATAAAGAGATATAATAATTAAAAATGAATTTCTACAGCCATTTAAAATTGCATATTTTTAACTTACCAATTTACACTATAAAATATATATAATACTTTTATACTTACATACATTTTTAAAACACGGTCTAAGGTTTCCTTAAGTTTTTTTCGTTTGTCTTTTAAAACTTTTTCATTTAAAGGTGGTGGCTGCATAACATTATATTCTAAAATGATAATAAATATTCATATTATTACTATTTTAGAAAGTTTATTATTGCTAAATATTGCTTAAACTAACCCATTTGATCTATTTTTTCCATTTCTTCAATTATTTGAGTAGGATCTTTGCCTTTTAAAACAGCAGCTCGCACCAATTGTCTTTGTTTTTTATTTTTCTTCAATTCTTTCTTACGAGCTTCCTTACCTAAAATATACAAATATACAGAATCATCAATTTTCTTTGATTTACAATAAAAAATGTATTTATTACACAGTTAGTTATGAATAATACTAACGTGCTTGATCAGTGGGATTCATGTATTTACCACTTTTCGTGGTATTAATTGAACGGCGACCCATTTTAATGATATTTAACAAATAGAAATAATGAAATATATATGCTTTTTTAATTTTAAGTCAACTTAATTGTAAAAAAAACGTAATTATTTATGTTTTGTTCAATCAACATGTCGCCATTATACCATCACTTTTGAATATAGGTTCAAAAGAAAATGGTACATTTACAAATGACTGTTCGATTCATAAGGCTACGTTTTCATCCATACCGATAAGTTGTATATTGATTTATGATTGGAAGATTTTGGATTAATGCATTCATTTGCAGGAGACATTCCCCGTTTTCCAATTACAGCACTAAAGCGCATTATGCGACATAATGTTCAACGTTGAATGTTTCAACTAGAGCATCGCATCGCACAATCGAGCACTGTAAAAAGTGTTGCTTTTACGTGATGCTTGCAATCGATACCAACTCAGTAGCAGAAAATAACCAAGTGTTTTTTCTTTAAGTTGGCATTGATCGAAATTGCATGTATATTATCGTTAGTAATATTGTTTATTATTGAAAAAATTCTTAAAGCTTTCTTCTCGTCGTAGTTTTTTGGAAATAATAAAAAGTTAATTCAGACTGTTAAAAAATAAATATAAGTATGGATCAAGGTATAAACAGTAACTATTTTTTTTTTATATTCTACACATAAAATGTGAATACAATTTTATTTTAAAATACAAAACTATAAATAAATTTATGAAAAAAAAATAAAATAAACTATAAATAAATTTATTAAAAAAATGTTAATGAAATAATCAAAATCCAAATTACTTAAAATAACCGTAAATAGTTTTCGCCCAATTATTATTGTTTACCACTTTATTTATACATTAATGAGGTTGCTAAGTCTATGAATATTTTTTGTTTCAACACTGTACTTAGCGCACTCTGCTGGTGCACTTGAAAACTAATTCATGTTCCAATTAAGCATTAGCACAATGCGGCATTGTGCGACACTGAGTCGCATTATGCTCTGTAACTGGAAAACGGGGTGCGTTACACAGTGTCGCTTTTTGGTATAATTGGAAAGCAACGATTGGAACTGTTAAGGTGTGTTTCCCTTAACTAGAGAATCATTCCGTGAGCGAGGAACTGACCAATGGGAGCACGAGGTAATGTGAGAAATAAATCTCCTTTTTAATTACGATCTCTAGGGACGAGCCTTTATTCACAGTCGGTGGTGTACTACATGTGGTGTGCAGAAATACAAAGGATGTTGATGCGGAGTACAATAGTGAGCTACTAGCCGGATGCGCAGACAATAAGCAAGTCCCGGCAGTGCTGTCAGATCGTGGGTAAATCTTACCCTCTCCCTGTGCCACTGGGATTGCACACAATGAAAGTTTTCCATGTCCGTGTGTTTGGGATGTCGA